CAACAAAGAAAAACTTCTTAGGTTTGAGAGAATGCTGTTTCGTGCAACAAGAGGCAATATGCTTTTCAACCAAACACCCTCTGATGAGGAGATCATGGATCCTTCAACATCAGAAATGGTGATAATGATCTCTTATTTTCTCACACATCACAGTTCTATTTCAGTGAGTTCCTTATTTACTAACTGGTTTTATGCTCATAGGTGGAGAAAATTGTATTTGTGGTATTCTTCTCTGGGGAGCAAGCTAAGACAAAGATTTTGAAAATATGTGAAGCGTTTGGTGCAAATTGCTATCCTGTCCCCGAGGATACAACAAAGCAAAGGCAGCTCACAAGAGAAGTAAGTTAGATATATTTATATTCCAAAACGTGTCGTTATCTTTATATAGAGCGACCTATTTGAATTTTTTTTTTGGTGTAACGATTCTTGCAAGTTAATTTCTTATTGTTCATATTATTTTCTTGTTGACTTTTGTATCACAATCATATGCGACTGTTATTTACTGGGTCACATCATGTTATTTCTAAATTTCAATATGCCTAATTATCCTTATGAGTAGTGCTAGTGACAGTTAGTTACTGCATTACACTATGTTGTTCCTCACTATCAATGGGTCTGGTTTATAGGTTTTGTCCCGACTCTCTGATCTGGAAGCCACTCTAGATGCTGGAATTCGCCATCGGAATAATGCCCTTAATTCTGTTGGTTATAGCTTGACTAAATGGATGACCACGGTAAAAATTAGCATCTCAATCAGTTTTTTTTTTTTTTATAATTATATTGCTGGTTAAATATGTGGAAGATGGTATGGTCCATACATATGGAACAAGCAATGATTTTAGCTGGCCTTGTACTGCTAGGTTCGGAGAGAAAAAGCGGTTTATGATACTCTGAATATGCTAAATTTTGATGTAACCAAGAAATGTCTTGTTGGCGAAGGTTGGTGCCCCACATTTGCGAAGACTCAGGTATACTACAACGTTATTTTTCCTTTCACATAATCTACTATTATTTCCTTGCAAGTGCAATTCATCAACACCTTATGTGCAGATTCATGAGGTCCTTCAGCGAGCCACGTTCGACAGCAATTCACAAGTGGGCGTTATTTTTCATGTAATGCAAGCGGTAGAATCACCTCCCACCTATTTCAGAACAAACAAACTTACAAATGCGTTCCAGGAGATTATTGATGCTTACGGGTTAGTTCAACTTTTGAGCATAACTTGATACTATTGTAATGTTAACGAAAAAAACGTGATAATTTAAATGCAAGTGTTTGGGTCCCGTGTTTCCTCATCATACATACATGATGTCTTTATTAACTGACTGCTTTCTAACAAACCAAACTTTTTTCATTGCGTATCCTCTTAATCAAGCTATTTGTTGATTTCATGTATGTTTGACTTGATGCTTACTTGGCAGTGTTGCAAGATATCAGGAGGCAAACCCTGCAGTTTATTCAGTTGTCACATATCCCTTTTTGTTTGCTGTTATGTTTGGAGATTGGGGTCATGGTCTATGCTTGCTACTTGGAGCATTGTATCTTCTTGCTCGTGAAAGAAAGCTGAGTACGCAGGTATGGTAGGCCCCTCCCAGTTTTGTTGTATTAGTTTAGTGCGACAATTCTGGACTTTGAGCATGAGATGTTTACTTCTCAAGTTGAATAAATCAGCCATGAGGTTTGTTTTGTTTTATTTAGTGGCTGAGAGAGATTTCGTACATTTTCTTTTGAAGTGAGCTACAGCAATAGTTATATAGCAATTTTCTTGTGCTCTCAGATTGTGATGCAATTTCCTATGCGCTCGGAGGCTTTTTGTTTTCCAAAGGAGAGATAGTGATCTTAATATTTAGAATTGATATAGAATGTATGGCGAATTGCACTTATTTTACCTTCTCACTCTAGGGTAATGGTTGAGTTGAGAAAAGTATCGTTTGTGGTGTACATCTCATTGGCTATATGTAAAATTTCTGTCTATGTGGTATGATTTTTCTGTATCTTATCTTTACCAGAAACTTGGAAGCTTCATGGAGATGCTCTTTGGAGGCCGCTATGTAATCTTACTAATGGCGCTTTTTTCAATATACTGTGGGCTTATCTACAATGAGTTCTTCTCTGTTCCTTTCCACATCTTTGGTGGTTCAGCTTACAAATGCAGAGATACCACCTGTAGGTATGTGCTATGTTCGAATCCTTGACGTCTTACTCTTTTCTTGTATTATTATTACTTTTAATTGTTACTTATATAAATATTGCTTTTAATACAGCGATGCTTACACGGTTGGTTTAGTCAAGTACCGTGATCCATACCCATTTGGCGTAGATCCTAGTTGGCGTGGAAGTCGTTCAGAACTGCCTTACCTAAACTCTCTGAAGATGAAGATGTCTATTCTGCTGGGAATTGCTCAGATGAATCTGGGACTTATATTAAGTTTCTTCAATGCTCGCTTCTTCGGCTCTTCATTGGACATAAGGTTTGTTCTTCTTTTTCCTTTTTTTATCCTCCCAAGCTTCTGAAAACCTTTGTGATGACTCATGTCTTTTTTGATGTGTCATCAGGTATCAGTTTATACCTCAGATGATATTCCTGAACAGCCTATTCGGTTACCTTTCACTACTCATCATCATCAAGTGGTGCACTGGCTCTCAAGCAGACTTGTATCATGTCATGATCTACATGTTTCTGAGTCCCACCGAAGAACTTGGTGATAATGAGTTGTTCTGGGGCCAACGTCCACTTCAGGCACAGTTTTCCTCCTTTTTTTTTTGTTTTACTTAAAGATACATAACTTTTTGTTCCATCTTTACTCATCTCGACACTTACTCCGCAGATTCTGTTATTGCTTATGGCATTCATTGCTGTTCCGTGGATGCTTTTTCCAAAACCCTTTGCCCTCAGGAAAATTCACATGGAGGTATATCCCAGTTTTAAGCTACTATATTCTTTTGTGGGGATCTGGCTTGTCAAGGAATGAGTTTTTTATGGTTTCGTGTAGAGGTTTCAAGGTCGAACTTACGGAGTTCTTGGTACTTCTGAGGTGGATCTCGATGTAGAACCAGACTCAGCTAGAGGTCATCAGGAAGAAGAGTTTAACTTCAGCGAGATTTTTGTACATCAATTGATTCACTCCATAGAGTTTGTTCTAGGTTCAGTTTCTAACACGGCATCTTACCTTCGTCTCTGGGCTCTTAGGTATGTATAGTCACTGACGTCTCTGCTTTTACAATTTATTCCCCTTCGTATTTGTTGCTAATATAGTCTTTTGACCTTACAGTTTGGCTCATTCGGAATTGTCGACTGTCTTCTATGAGAAAGTTCTTCTTCTTGCCTGGGGGTGAGTTTTGGAGTTGCACGTTTCTTAAACTTAATATTCTCAAATTTGTTTATATGCTTTTCCATTTTTCTCTAGGTATGAAAACATTTTGATCCGGTTAATCGGAGTTGCGGTGTTTGCGTTTGCAACGGCGTTTATACTTCTGATGATGGAAACGCTAAGTGCGTTTCTTCATGCTCTGCGTCTTCACTGGGTTGAATTCATGGGGAAGTTCTTCAATGGTGATGGTTACAAGTTCAAGCCTTTCTCATTTGCTTTAATCTCTGATGACGATGAATAATAAAAAACTTAATCATCAAGCCATTTTGCACATCCCACTTTCCTCCGATTATCCACCCAAGAAAAAGAATATATAGAAGAAAAAATTGGCTTTTCCAAAAAACACATTATACGGTAACATCCTTTTGCTTTCGTATTTTTTTTCTTTTTGAATATTTTTAACCGGATTGGTATTTTGTAGTTAATGTTAAAAGTGGAGAATGCCTTTGTTTTCCTCCTAAAAGCAGAACAAGTTAGATCTCACTTTTGGAGATTGAGTTTTTTTTTTTTTTAATACATACATACATATAACATATCCCTGTCATGGATATTTTTGGAGGCAAGAGAGAGAGATAATTGGAACTTTATATTATATAAAAAAAAAATAATCATTTAAGATGAGCATTGTAATGGTAATGACAAAGTAATGTTTTCTGCTGCTAGTGCAATCGCATTAAGTGTTGTTTTTAATCACATTGCAACTATGGGGAATCACGTGCTGAATTGGAACGGTCTTCAGAGCAAAAAGTTTAGGATAAATCGACGATTGAGTATTCCGTGATTGTAAGGAGCGTTTATTTAAACCGATGACATAAATTAATGGCTTTGAATGTTAACACATCAAAAACATCGTGGTTAGTAGTAATTAAGGGTTTAGTTGACTTGTTAAATCCTAGGTCCTTCGCCTTGTGGACTATCTATAACCGCCAAACAAAAACAAAAACGAAAGTGATTGGGATTTGCAGAAAGTATTCGGACCAAACACAACTCGACTCCATGGGCGGCTTTTGACTATTATTTCATTTAATATCTTCATTAATTAATTGCTGTGGTAATAAACCTTTTTTTTTAGCATCGTCCATAAAATATTTTTATGCCTTAAATAAATATATCTGTTAATACCGTTTAGGTTGATCCCTGTTGAAAAAAAATATAGGTTAGATTAGTTTAAATATATCTCAACACACTAATTTCACGGATTTTATCTTTCTCCAACACAAAAGAAGAATTTCGATTAATTCCTTGCCAACAAAAATAGTTTATATTCTGGTTTAACTAAATTGAAGTCAAAATTTGAAATAACTCATGTAAAAATTGAACCAATTTAAGTGAAAATAAACCATATTCAAGTTTTCATTTTATATATTTAAACAAACCGTATTTAACCGGATTGAATGCAATTTATAACAATTTTAAATTTAATAAACCAAATTAAATCGGATAGGAAAAAACCTGAAAATTTACTCGCATTGTATTATCTCTACGACTCTACCTTTAACATGAAAAATAAATAGCCGTCAAAAATAAAATCTTGGAAAATAAATTAGGTTTCCTTATTTTTCTTTTTGGTGTTGTTTATATTATCTGACTCTTGGGGGTATTAAATTTTGGCAATTCAATTTTACCTTTGAAAAACACCAGCCATTGGAGAAGGTTTAGCCACTAAACATACATCGCAGCAGTTTTTTCGTTCTCTTCGCAAATCTCTCGTCTTCGATTTTCTGCGAATCTCTCATCTCCTTCCTTCCCCTAACCAACCGTTGGTAACCATCTCGCTCCCTCTCTCTCTCTCTTCGTCTCTCGTATCTACAATTCGTCTCGAAAGCGTGTGTCTCAAACCCTAAACGCGGGAATTAGGGTTTTGTTCGTTGAATTCGGAACTCGCGACTTGAATTTCTCCATCAAGTTTTCGATTTTCGCTTTAGATTTCTACTCCTTTTGTGAGTTTTAGCCTGATTCATCAACGATTTTTTTTGTTTCTTGTCTAATCTTGAGTGTTTCTTTAAAATTACGGAAATTTGGAAGTGTTAAAGGTTTGCATTGCGAATAATCTTTCGAATTTAGGCTTAAGAGTTGAGAAAGTTTCTCCCTTTTTTGATAAATTGTTCTATAATTTTGGGGATTTTGTGTTTTCTTGGCCTTTTAGTTTTTGTTTGAGATTTGTTTTTCACTGTCTTCTTCTCGTTGGTTTGAAGTTTTGGGACTAGTCTAGTTGCAGTATCGTATGTATACTTATTTATTGAAGAATTTTTGAATATGTTCTGATCTAATAATGCATGTTTTGTCTCTTTTATTTCATATTAAATAATAATCAGATTAACGATGAATGACAAAGGAGAGAAGACTTGTCCTATATGTGCTGAGGAGATGGACCTGACTGATCAGTATCTAAAACCTTGCAAATGTGGCTATCAGGTTTGATACATTACAACCGCTTCCTCTTGTTTGTTTCTCGTCACTATTCGAGCAGAGTCTCTTGGGTTCTTGTTAGTCGTCTGCTAAAATTGGCCGTTGATATGTCTTCTTTGAGTGTAAAAATTTGGTCTTGCAAGTACTCCGCTTGGTAGTTTGACTTTGAGGACCAGTTATTACGAGATATGAGTTTCTGTTAATTCTGTATGGCTTTGATGCCTCTGTGGAACAATGTTCTGCTGAAAGAAGGACCATGATCTTTAGTCTCTGATTAACTTTTTTCTTTTCTTACTGTTTCCATCTTGGTTGACCCACATTTGTCAATAAGTATCTTTGGAATGCACACCCTTTCTTAGATTCTATGCTTAAGACTGACATGGCCCAGTTTTATCTTGTTATTTGTTCCTTTATTGTGCCACTGTAGTGTGGTCATCGTATAATCTATCACCTTTTTTATGTAAATTTTTTGTCCTTGGTGCAGATATGTGTCTGGTGTTTCCATCAGATTATAGAGATGGCGGAGAGAGATAAAACAGAGGGTCGCTGTCCTGCATGTCGTTCCCCTTATGATAAGGAAAAGATTGTTGGAATGACAATTAGCTCTGAAAGGTAGACCGTAGATCTGAAACTGAAAAAGAAAGTCATATTGGTTCATGTAAGACGCCCAAAAACTTATCCTTTTTTCCTGATAAATCACCAGGTTGGTTGCTGAACTTAACAATGACCGGAAAAAATCACAGAAGGTGAAAACTAAACCTTCAGAGGGAAGGAAAGAACTAACTGGTGTGAGAGTCATCCAAAGAAACTTGGTTTACGTTATGAGCTTGCCTCTTGAACTGGCAGATGAAGATGTAATTCTACCAGTTAAACTTATCTCCTTGGCACTCACATTTTCTTTGGAAAGAGAACACCTCATCTCATTTTCTTTGGTTTACTATGCATGCAGCTCTTTCAGCGTAGAGAATACTTTGGTCAATATGGGAAAGTCGTAAAGGTAGCAATGTCTCGAACGGCAGCTGGGGCTGTCCAACAATTTCCAAACAATACTTGCAGTGTGTATGTATCCGTATTTTCTTTCACATTCCATTAATGGTATCTAGTTTAGCAGAACCGCTTTCTCTCTGAGGTCTATTACACAGGTTTGCTAATAACATTTCTTTTTCTTTTCGTCTCCAAAATCGATATTTCCCAGATATATTACTTACTCCAAAGAGGAGGAAGCAATTCGATGTATCCGATCAGTACATGCATTTATATTGGATGGTAGATCTTTGAAGTATGTGATGTTTTTCCTTTATTCAAGATTTGTTGTGGTAAATTGTGGTTCCATTTCTAATAAATTTCTGGATCTCATCAGGGCATGTTTTGGGACCATGAAGTATTGTCATGCGTGGTTAAGAAACATGGTAAGCAGATATTTTCTTGCGCTAACTAGTTCCCTTTAAGAACTTGCATACAAATTTAAGTGTGTTTCGTGGATGTTTTTTTTTTGTTTCTGCAGCCTTGTACCAATGCAGAATGCCTTTATTTGCATGAGATTGGTGCTCAAGAGGATAGTTTTTCAAAAGATGAGACCATATCAGTCCACATGAGGTAAACTAGGATCAATGATCTTGAAACCGCTTTGCCTATTTAGTTAAGCTCAATAGATTGTGGCGATTTCTTGTTTTTTTTTTTATGGTGATGGTGAGCTCTCTTAGTGAAGTATATTTTAGTTGACATCAATAGATCCAGATGTGAACTTGTTCGCTATCTGGTTTTCTCTTACCTTTCACACTTTCTTGAGGCTGGCAGGGATATGATTTTGCATCAGTTCTTTGCTCTGGTCTATATGTTGTGTTTCGATAGGTGGTTATCTGATTGTCTTTTTTTTTTGAAAAGGAAAATTGTTTCGCAAATTACTGGTACGGTGGTCAATTTTCCGCGGCGTTCAGGGAATATGTTACCTCCACCAGTCGATGATTATGTTGAGTATGAGTCTAGCGCAAGACAAATTCCAAAAAGTGTTGTGAATGTAAGTTGCCAGCTCTTCTTGGAGCCCTTGATATTTTTTTTTCTGCTGTCACCATATTCATGTGCTTAATAAGGACTGCTTTTGGCTTATTCTTTTTCGGCCTTCTTTCTCTTTGCAGAATGGACATAGTGTCGTTAAAAGTTCTCCCCCAAATAGTAGCAACGGCCGGTCTGTTACTCTTCCTGCTGGAGCCTTGTGGTACACTTTAATTCTTGTGCATAGATTTTTTTTTTTTCCCCAACTGTGTACCTGCTTTGTCTGACACTTGTAACTGGTTTTTCAGGGGAATGCATGCTTCAGGCCAGTCTTCAATACCGAATACACCATGTGCTGGGGAACCCGTAAGAGACAAAGCTGTTACAGTTTCATCTGCGGTTGCGACAAATCCAATGCAGACTTCTGCATCTCATAGTGATGTATCAAAGAAGCCAGCATTAGAGGATAATAATACCTCACATGGAAATGCCTTGAAACCGCCTGAGCTATTGGATAGTCAGACTGATTTTCCGGAGCTTTCCGTGGTTAATAGGACCCAGACCAGCAATAGTAAGGCATTAGTTTCTGCAAGTGTGGATAATAGTAGAGCTGTTAGTGTGCCATCAGATTGCACAGACTATCCAGAACAGACTTCTCAGTCTTGTAGATCCATGCTGTCCAATGGAAATAAAAAGGTTGACAGAAGAATACAGAGCGTATGCAGCGACGCTGTGTCAGTGATTGCAGATAGTGTTGTGGATGGCACAGATGGGTTAACTAGGTCTGACCGTTCACATGTTGATCACGGTCCCTTAAAGTCTTCTCATACAGAAGTTTCCCGAGACTCTCGACAGCATTGTGTCAATGAAACTAGAGAAGTTCAGCCATTACAGAATTGTGGTAGAACTAGCGCAAATGAGACTGTTGTGTCGAGAGAAGAAGCTAATACAGGTACTGCTTTGATGTCTCCATTGGTAACAGATAGGCATCTTGAACCTGCGGATGATTTATCATTGTTTATTAGAGAAAGACTCAAGGATCCAGAAGTTTTTAGCTGTCAACCCAATGTGGCCAACAAATCTGGCTTCCAACGCACGTCAAATAGTATGCAGCATTGTTCATCCCAGTATAAGGCTGAGCATGATGAAACCAGGAGCGTATTTGGGTCCAGAGGAAGTAGTATAGCACCCATCTCTCATGGATATAACGAGATGACACATAGCGAGCCCAGTCGTTTAAACAGCAGTCTTAATCATTCTATGTTGTTTCCTGACAAAGCAAGGGACACACAACCAAATGGAAAGTGCTCCGTTGACTCACAGGGAAACTCTAGGAGTGAAATAGATGACAGGATAATTGCAAATATATTGTCTTTAGACCTTGATGAATACTTAACTTCACCTCATAACTTGTCGAAGCTACCAGAGCCAGGAGACGTACAGGCCAAGTCTCATAAGCTAGCAAGTTCCAGTGAAGTTAAGAATAATCAGTCCCGGTTTTCTTTTGCAAGGCAAGAGGAATCCAAGGATCAAGCTTTTGAATCATATAATGTCTTCAACCAGAAACCACATGGCAGTGACTTCTACCAGAATTCTTCAGAACGGCAGAGCCCTGATATGAAAATGCTTGGGATGTATAATGGCCTTTCATCCAATTATCTCGAGGGACTAGATTATGTCACGCAAAACTCCACGTTGCCCTCGTCTTATAAACCTCCTTGTGAGTGTCATTTCTCATCCTCTTACCTCAAGCCTTTATAGCCTTCTAGGTGTTTATATTATATTTTCATTTCATGTTTTACTTATACAGCACCAAACTGGTTATTTCCAGTTTGATGGTCGTAGATATGGATTTTAAACACTCTCTAGCTCCAGTCCAGAATACTGTCTATAACTTCTAGCGCCAGTTTTAAATGTATGAGTATATTAGGTTCTTGAAATGAATATATGGTTCTTAGGGTGATGCTTCTCTTGGTTATGGAATTAGCATGCTTCCTGGATATCGACTTGGGTTTGTTTTGAAAGCATGTGTGCCTGCATATTATTGCGCACTTGTGTAAATCTTATTCTCCTTGTGTATTTTTTGTTTTGTAGCTGTTCCAAGATGTCCGGTTTCAGCGCCACCTGGATTTTCAGTTGCAAGTCGACCTCCTCCTCCAGGCTTCACGTCAAATGGGAGAGAAACGCAGACGTTTAATGGATATTCAGGTAGTTTTATATTTGAAGTTCCCCTCTTAGTTGTTTTGGTTTATATGATATGTTTGCTCTAAAGATAAACTGAAAATCTGATCTCGTTACTTGTAGGAAACCATCGTTTTTCTGATTCAACAATGTTCAGTAATCCATATCAGTCACTTCCAGTTGATAATACCGGTGCTGTCAGAGATGTTCAGATTATGGATCCTGCGATTTTGGCCGTTGGTCCAGGCTTTGAGAAGGCAAACCTAGATTTCAGATCAAACTTTCAAGGAAACTCAAACATGTTTGGAAACGATGCAAAGCTTCAACAACAACAACAGCAACTGGTAATGCAGAGCCCTTTGTCTTCTCCGCAACAAAACTGTAGATTCACAGATTCTTTGGGAATGGCATCAAGGCTCATTGATCAATCTCAAGGGAGTAACTTGCTGTCTAGAAATCTGGCCTTGCCTAATAATGGTAACTGGGATGGGTTTAGTAACGAGGTCCAAAGCCGAAACAGACTCCAGAATGAGACGCTCTTTGGTTCAACAAATCGGATGAATGGTTGCAATGGGATGTTCAGGATTTAACAAAAATGGGCAGAGCCAATGCACTGGTCTGGTCTAGGAGCCTGCGGTTAGATCGCCTCGACCTTGAATCTTAGCTTTCTGGTTACTTAGAAACTGAGCCAAAAAGAGAGAGGTGGTTGTAAAAAAGCTTTAGGAAGTTTTTTATCGGTTTATTATGCATTTCATTATAACATTTTTCTTTCATTTTGAAATATGTCAAATATGGTTTTCAATTATGAGGAGGGTTACATAAGATTTTGTCTTCTTGCGTCTTCAGTTGAGAAATTTTTGAAAATCTGTTAACTAACAGTAGTTGTATTTCAACACCAAAATTCCAACTTTTTAAAAAACCATTAGTTGACTAATATAATATAACACTACTTTGCTTTTGTGGTGTGGCATAACATATGACTAGTAAGTAAATAAATAATATTAATCACTAATTGAGATGTGTTTAGTATTCTACTACACCAACTAAATCCTTAATCCTATATAACTAAATGCAGATAGATATTATGAATCTGAGGAGACACCATCTTTCTCTTTTGATTCAATTATAAAATAATTCTACATTTGTTTATGGAATGGACCCATAATGTTTCACAATCGTCTCACGTTGTCTCATTTTGTACCACTAAAAAATACAATTGTTTATATTAAGGATTCTCCGACAATGTAGGTCATCATTGGTATTTATTTGCTTTTATGCCTTTGTTGCCTTCTTCCTGCTGCTGACTAGCATTATAATATACCCTACGCAACTAAAAATAAAATAAAATATTAATAATACTAATAAATGTATATCATCAAAAATCACAAAAAAATAATAAATGTATGTATTTGGTACTTCGTCAGAAAATAGTATTGATCGCATTAAATTCGGCAGAAACAAAACCATATACTTATATCTTTGAGATGCCTCCAATTTGCTTAAGTAAAGAAAACGTCCACACATGCTGGTTCATATTTGTCCTGTCCACAAAACTCACGCCATATACTTTTTATAGTCTTTTTTTTCTTTCCTCAAAAATACTCTTAATGTCTTATGATAGGTTTGTTGGACCTCGTTTAGACTTTTTGGCCATTTTTTTGGTGAATTTTTAGCGAAAACGTTTGTCCACCAAATGACCAAATCCTCGATATTATAGATTTTTTGCCGTTAATAGCCGACTCAGCCTTTGATTATTAATGATCTTGCATACATTAAATTAATTTGGGAATTGGGACAGATTAGTTATGTGTTTTATTGTGAATCACATGAATGCATTCATCATAAAAGTATTATTTATTCAAAGAATTTGTCGACTAAAGATGGTGGTAATCCTACTTTACTACAAAACAAGGATAATAATATGTATAAAGAAACAAGTGAGTTTTAGATTACTGATAAAGGCATAGGATACGAGTCATAGGAAAGGACCATTTTTGGAATATTGTGAATAATAATTTAGTTTTCTTAAGACATCACATCTTACTGAATATTATGATTTACATCACCCCGAACCGGTAGATAGACTTTGAGATTTGATTTGACAGAACAAGAGATCGGGAATCTCTTATTTTTGCCTTTACCTTGACAATTGTCATAACAACTACACAAATATCTTTAAACATTTAATGACTAATACAAACTTACAAATATATTTTTATATATATAAAAAAAATAGAATATAGCCCCAAGAACAATGTATCCTAATTTTTTTGTAGTACTAGGAGTTAACCCGCGCTACGCCGCGGAACAACTTTTCTAATTTTTTTGTTATTTAAGTAAATTGTTAATATAATCATATTTTTATTGGGTTTTATGTTAATTTTGGTTAGAGTGTACAATATTAAATATATACTATTCAATATTTCTAATTTATTGAAAATTAAAGTAATACACCCCTAACTCATATTCGTTGAACACGTAGTTTTCATATGATTTGTGTACCCTAACTTAATAGTATCATCCGTAACCAAAAATGAAAGCAAAACTGTGAAAATAAAAACAGAAGGATCATCTTAAAGAAAGAAGATCACATATTTCCTTTTAGCAAAGTTAAAAAAGAGTTAAAAGAGTATATGTTTTAGAAATAAATGTGTGAAGAACAATTCTTAATTTTTGGCCAAGAAGAACTCATTTAGAAATAACTATCTCGCTTATGGTGTCACTTTTGCATCGAAAATATATGTTTCTCTTATCTAAAGCAAATATCATAAAATTTTATCAGATTTTTCATTTTTCCCATCAGCCTTTAAGTTTCAAGCTCTGTCCAGTTCCCATTTTCTTCATCTCCGGTCCAGCATCGATGAAGGTGTCACAGAGGATCATTCGCTGAGAAAAAAAGGAAACACAGAGTGGATAAGTTGAACAAAACCAGTGTCCTCAACTCTAAAAAGACACAGACAGATATTGCAAGACTATTAATAGATTATAGACTTATGTAGTGCACCAAAAAAATTGAGTCACAGCAAAAATTCAGGACAAACACGACTGCTCCCAATAAAAAATCTCAGAAATAAATTATAAAAGTATCAAACTCCAATCTCACACACCAGTCAATCATGTACACACTACATTATAAGACACGTACTACGATAGTAGTACTCATCTCTGTTTTTTTTAATGTTGTTTGTGTATGTAGATATATCTACAGACACATAAAAATCGTTTTTGTAAATTTCTAAAAACGAATTTATCACCAAAAAGAGCAGTTTGTAAAAATTATTTTTAGGATATTGATTTTACTTAGAATATTATTTTCTAAAACATTTGAAAAGTGAAATCAACTTTATTCATCAAATATGTATAGTGAGAGAGCATGATTGATGAGCTTCGTAAAATCAAGTAAACTGAACATGCTTAGATATTCTAACTGACCACTGTCTTTTACGGCAATACAAAATAGCCATGCCTTAGGATGCCAGAGTCGTTGTGCTCACTACATAACTGCAGATAGCCGTGTGTCTTCTTATTTCAGCCTGTGATGGAATCAAAAGAAAGCGCAGTGCACACTCAAAGTCACTGATTTTAAGATTTATGTGAATATAATTATATCTTATCAAGAAACAAATAAACAAATCTTCGGCCACAGCTAAAAAAAGATGGAATATTATGATGATATTCATACTCAGGCGTTCACATCACGAAACTGCCCCATTATCTCGTCTTGGCTCTTTTTGTGTGTAAAAAAATTCTAGGCAGAAAAAACATAAACAACAATATTATGAATCATCATGCTAAATTGAAAAGAATCAAAACTGAGAAGGGAAAAGTTTGGTACACATGCAAATGCCTATATGAGCTTAGCTCAAGCAAAATTACTTCTCTATTCATTTTTGTAACTAAAACTTCAGAAAAACCAGAAGTAAAACCCAAATTCTTTTCTTGGTTTCCAATGATAATAAGTTAATCATGAATCTAGAAAATTACAATCTATAATTGCCTATCCAGAGTCTTTGAGGTAACACTAAACCTATCGGCAAAGGCAGCTGAACACAGAGTCCTCCTAAATACATATTTAAAAATATTTCTGGTGTTCAGTAGAACCCAAATAGAATCTCATGAAACATACAAATGAAGAGCTCAAAGAAATAAAAAACTGTCAAATTATCAACTTTGAAAACCATAAACCTCAAATCAAATCCTGTAGTAGAGTGGGAGATTCTAAAGGAGTGAACTTTCTAGTGTACTCAAAATCTGAGGCAAAGAAACTAAAATTAAAAACTCATCTGCATACTAAGATTGAGGAAAATTGAAAGGCAAAACAATTTAAAGAACTTACAATATGAATGTTTTCGAATCCATAAAAGAGCAAGAGTCTTCAGTAACTCGCAGAGAATGCCACCAGCTCCACCGTAAGCACTTTGGCACCCTAGAACCCAAGACGTGAAAATTGAAAATATGTCGATTGAAAAACACCCAAAAAGTGGATTAAGAGTATCTTCGGAGCTTACGTTAATGGTGGATCGTTGCTGCTGCAAATCCAGAGAGGAGAGTTGACATAACTTATTCGGTTCCAGCCATATTTCTCCGCCTTCTTCCGCCACATTTTTGTTCTTTGGCTGAAGAATTGTTGTCTCCTTTATGTCTTGTGAATCGACTACTAAGAATTCAGAAGAAGAAGACGAAGAGGGATAGATATTGTTTTTGTTTTTTTTTCATAAATTATTTTGAAAAGCTGATGTGGTAAATGATGTGGCAGATGATGTGTCTTAAGGAGAGAAGTTTATGTGTCAAGCTTATGAAGTTTAACTGAGTTTTTATATAATAGATTTGCAGGAAAAAAAAATGAGTGGTAAAATCGTTATTAATAAAAAGTTTTAGAGGTGGATGATTTTAATAAATAGTTTAATTTTATAAATGCCATACCATAAAACAAAATACTTAGTTATGGAGTTTATTTGACACTTCTGCACTTTATACCTCTTTTTAAAACTCACTGATTAATGGGGCATAATTTTTTTTTTTTGAGAATCTTCATATTTTGAATACCGCCTCTGCAAATGTCAAATGATACTGTTTTTTTCAAAGTATTATTTTTGTCAACTTTTTTTGTTAAGATTATGAATATAAATTTAGAAAATTAGAATCCATTCCATTCCACTCTATTCCAAAAGTTAAAACCACCATATGCAATGCACGACTCTCTCTAGTATATCGTTAAGTACTATATATATTTTGTCGACTTTTTTGGGGTCGACAAGTACTATAATTATATAACACGTGACTTTTAGAATATAAGTATTTATTTAGTTATATCCGAAAATGTGTCCACAAATATAGAAAACTAATGTTTTCGCCGAATCCTTTGGTGTTCCGAAGAGGCAGCCAAAATTGTCACATCCTATCACTATCTCTCTTTACTGTTCTTTTCAAACAGTGTTTGTGTATTATTATTATTGAATATCAAAATAACCAAATCACATAACGACAAAAAAAAACCCAATCCTTAATTTTATTTCTTAATTATTTACAAAAATGTACCTTCCAATTTCCAATAGTTTTTTCTTACCAAGAAACAAGGAAGTAACATTTTTAATTCACATAAACTATAAAGAAAGCATATCCAATGAAAAAAATCCAAAATACCACAACACACATTTTCCTTCATTAAGTTGATAAGAAAAGTGACATTTTCTTTTGGGTAAAAAGCCATAAACACCTATCTTTTTTGTTTTTCTCATTCTGAATCATTGTATGTATAATTTACCCAAAAGACATTTTTTAAAAAAGAGAGGCTTAAAAACTCTCAAAAAATACCAATTTTCTTTTTTTGAAGCCCTCTCTTTATAAGTTAAGGTTGTGGATAAAAGTAACCACGAGAGGAGGCATTGTCACTGGGAGGTGGTTGTTGCCGGAAATGAGAGAATCCTGATGATGCTGCTGCTGCAACTGAGAACAACGGTGGTTGTGCTCCGCCGGCCAACGATGGTTGTGGTCTTTGCCATCCCCAGTTACTACTACTACTCATCATCCCTCCTTCACCTTCACTTCTCTTCTCAGAAGCCACTCTTCCCTGCAAAAACCAAAATCATAACAAAAACATCGTTTCATTGCAAATCCCTATGTTGAGAGTTGCTGTTTGTGTTGTTATATGTCTTATACCTCGACGGAGTTATGATAACTCGGGCATGCTCCGTTCCAGTAAGAACGATGGTCTGATGATCCATAAGGAAGAGGTGTATTCACTGGCTTTCCTATGAACTCGTTATCTATCTGCATAAGTTTTGTTTTTTATAAGAAAAACGTTTTTCGCTGCCTTTTACAAGGGATTCATGAGAGATTGATATTAGAGAATTTACTGTCAAGCTAACTCCACGCTGAGTTTCATAAGTGTTAGAAGGGTAATGAAAGAGCCTTTGCTTTGGTGCATTTCCGGGAGAAAGAGAGATTCCCAAGTTGAGATCAAGTTTGTCATGACCACCTTCATATAGTAGAAAAAAAACTATCAGAGATGGTTTATAGATTGAATGATGATGAAATGTTGTTATTCATATTGACTACATTACCTTCGTTAGAGTTTATCTCGTTTTGGTATGAACTCAGCTCGAAATTGGTGACTGCTTCTCGACCATTGGAGTTGATTGCAGCTTTGTCATAAGCCCTGTTTTTTCAAAGAAAGTGTTCAGAAAGAGAGAAACAACACTTGGATATGTAAAACTAATTGAAGTTTTCTTAAGAGGTATCAAAAGTTTTTTTCAGGCAAAACAAGTAAAATTCATTATCAATTTAGGAGACCTTGCAGCTTCTACTTCGCTGTCGAACAGCCCAAGGTAAATATACCTGCAATTCAAGCGTTTTTAAAACCTCCCAAGACGAAAATCACCATTTCCTAAGCATTTCTCCTACTCTTTTGGGTTCATTACTGAGACACCATTCCTCGTCTCATTTCAGAGAAACACTGAACAGAATTTCCTAAAAAAATTGAAGGTTTTTATGATCAAGGACAAAAGTTGCTCACTTTTTACCAAGAAACTGCCCCATCCTAGCTTCCCATCTCCCACATTTGTGTAATGTGACTCCTCGATACTTTGAGCTTCCACGCGAGAAACCCGTGCTTTGACGTCGGAGTATGTGCACAAACTCTTCCTTGCTCAGGTTTTGTACCTGTTGAGAGACAATACTCAATTCAACAATCTCCATAAAAAGAAGTGATCACACAAACATGTAAACCAAACTACATTCATATCAAAACCTGTTTCATATCTTCCTCGTAATCGGCGAGAGTGAAGTTGATATCAGCATCAACGCCTCTGAATTTGATAGCAGCTCGATCATAAGCTCTAAACACAAAAAGAAGAAACTCAAAGTTTATTCATCTACAAAATCCTAATCCAAAACACAAAGCTCAGGAAAATGATCTAAATTTACCTAGCTGCGGCATGAGCAGTGTCAAAACCACCTAAATTGAAACCAACAAGAAAGATACAAAAATGAATCAAGAACTTGTTCTATCAACAATCATGAAACTTTTAAGCTTTGTGTGTTACCTAAATAGACTTGTTTCCCACAATCCCTGCAAGAAAGTAGAAACCAAACAGAGAGAGTTTTGATTTGATCAACTTCAATAGTGAAAAAGCAAAATCGATGAAGTTGAATAATCAGCAAATTTGGATTTTACCAAATATGCGATTCCCATCGGCCAGTTCTTCTGTAGAAAGTGACTCCTCTATACTGAGAGCTCCTTGACCTTGGTCCTCTCCGACTCTTTTTCACCGGTACCGGAGCCGGCGCCGGAGCCGGAGCCATCGATTTCATCTCTCCGTGGTGGCCGGAGCCATCGAAAGAGAGATCGATCCAGCTTCTAGAGCTCGATCCCTCGACATCTCGCAAGTGACCACAGTCTCCAGCCACCGGGAAAAACTCCTTAGTCACGCCGGAGATAGAGGCGGCGGCGCTTTCGTCTCCGCCGCTGCTTCCGACTTTTAATATGTCGAAGCTGAGAGTGAAAGCGCGAGCCGAGCAAGAGTCGTCGTCTGCGTCGGCATTGATTACCGACGACGTCGACGTCCCTGACTCCTCCGCTCGATTACCTGACCCCTCCGATGTCTGCCGATCTAAGTATGAGTCACCGTACTGAGTCGACTCGGGAGAGTCTGCGTCTAGGTTAAGATCCAGCATCTCTTCTCCGGCAAAATAAATTTCAAATAATCTGTTGATTTCACCAAATTTTAAAAGACGAAAAAAAAGTAGCCACCGAGTAGAATCAGTATCAGCGATCGTCTTATACACAAACACGATTACATAATCACATGATAAGATTAAGGAAGCTCGAGAGAAGAGGCAACAAAAGAGACAGAGAGAGAGAGAGAGAGAGGAAGAGGAAGAAGAAGAGGAAAGTAGATTTCAAAGGTATAGGCGGTCTAGCGACATTGGACGGCGAATTTTGTGAATACTACGGCGAGGAGTGAGAAAGAGAAGTTTCATCGCCGGAAAATGTCACCGGCGGCGAGGGATTGTTAACGGATTGTTCTTCTGTATTGGAGAAGATAAAGAAAGAGAGAGAGGAGGGAGACGTGTGAGGGAACATTTCAGACCCATTTTTAGAGGAACGATCATAATTTATAATAAAAATTAAAACATTTTCTATCGGTAATGAGTAATTGTTGTTGGTCCTTTTTTGGCAGTGGTGTACCGGCTGAGCAGGTTTTCGGTCAAATCCGGTACGCACTGCTTTTGGTCAATGCTTTTGGTTTATGACACTGGGTTTAGGCTCTAAGTAGGAAATTAATTTTTTTTTTTTATTTCTTAGACCTGCCGTCAGTTTTATAGTATTGTGAGGAGATAAATATTAGGGTTGGCATATCATGCAGCATCAAGATCCAATCTGGTATCCAGTTTTATCTGTTTTGAAAAATATGGTATTCGAAGTTGAGTATTTTAATTTCAGTATAGTATTTGAATTTGAGTGTTTTTAATTTTGAAGATAAAGATATCCAAATTCGGTGTAGATTTGTTTTTGTTTCTTATGTTTTTTTAATCATAAATTAGTGTAAATATTAAACAATTATCAGAAAAAATTTTCATTTTAAAAAGGTAGATTATTTAAAATAATAAATTACCAATCTTTACTCACATAAGATTTCAACTACTAAAACCCAAATGTGTGACTTTAAAGTGTTTTAAAGTCATATAACCTCAATGAACAAACTTTCTAGTTTCTACTAAAATTACTATATAACTGAATATTTTCATTTATTTTATTCTAAGAATGGACATTCGGTTTTTTTTTTTTTAACTTGACATTCGGATTTAAAGAGTAGCTCCTTGGCTATAAGAGTTTTCTAAGTCCACCACAAGTTAAACACTCGACCTAAACTCAAGCGACTCTTGAGTAAGTAACTCAAGAACAATGTGTTTTACACGCTTATAATCGAATCATGCAGCAAATTTACGTTCTTGTCTCTTGAACCAAAACCATGCCTCTAATAGTGATTACATATCTTTGGTACAGTTCTCTGAGATTTCATGTTTAACTAGGTTCTTTTAGTTGGAGTCAAACCGATAAATCTATTGATTAGATTAAATTGTTATTTTCATTTTAAACTTAGTGATTCAATTTTTGTTTTAAACTCTTTTTAAGAACGGGTTTGATCACGAAACAAATGAGTTTCTAGCAAAAAAAAAAAAAAAAGCAACAAACATTTAATGAAATGTTTAGAGACGATAAATAGTAACCAACAAACTACTATACTCCTTACCATTGTTGTAAACTGTTGTTAATTTATAAAGGGTTACAGGTGAAACCAACAGATTAATTTAAATCACGATATTTGTTTAGAAATTAGATTTGATCATATATTCTAAATAAAACCCCAAAAAAATAGAAAATAATATATCAACTAGACAACTACCATTGACATTTTGCCACATAGCAAGATTGGAAGAAAATATCTATGACAAAGGATAAACCTAAAACATGCGATTATGAGCTCTCTCTTTGGACGGCATTGTCCTTCACATTGGTCAATAAGAGTGGGTCAGTGATCTAACGGCTGGGGTTGACTCAAATCTAAACATTAATTTTCTTAACGCAATTTTAAATAAGACTTAGCTTTTATATGGTCCATTTTCCAATTTTTTTCACCTACATGTAACATGTGATTCAGGAATCACCAAAGTGTCCGATCCTTATCTTTCATCGTCCCGTTCACGAGCATGAGTAACATGTGACTCTCTAGTTTTTTTTTTTTAACAACTTGGGTATATTCTTTTGTTTTTTTTCTTACTTTCTCTTATCTTAGTCTTTACTTATGTCGACAATTTACCTTTACATTACGTAAAATTAAAAATTCAATTACACTTTTTTTGAAGTTTAACTATAATCATATTTTACCAAGATTAACTTAAGACTATATGTTTGTATTTATGCTTCAAATTAATTAGTATACCAGATAGAACAAGGGATTTTTTGCTAGAAAGATTTTTTTTAGCCATCTGACCACTCAACCAGTTAGGTCGTCTATATTAATATATTTTAGATTTGCGTATTTTATTTTTTTTTTCAAAACACAATTATTAATTTTAGTGATTTTGAATACAGAATAGACTACTAAAAGTTTTGATAGAAAAAATACATAAATTTTGGACAAGGACAAGACAATGCCAATGATGTAGCTATAACTATGATATTTGCACACACTCGTTTGTTTGCGTACCAACACTTCTTAGTGCCACCAAACCCTAAGTTGGTTTCTTATACTCACATGATCGCAAGATTAGAATAATTAATTTTACAAGATTATAAAATTTGTATCCTCTTTCATCACTTTTGTAGTTTTGTTATCACTAATTAATATTCGTCTTGGAGGGATAATTATGTCTTATGTTATGAGGCTAGTTGTTCGATTCATGCGAATTAAAATATAAGCGACATCCTAAAAGCAAGCAATGTAGACACCTTGCCGACAAGGAAATATGCAAGTGGGTAAATAAATGTTGGTTTTTTATTAAATATAAATAATTTTGATGAAAAGATAGTGAATTTATTTTGGTTGGATGCGATTGCGAAAGATAATAACTTCGGGATGTGATTGCTGGAAAACATGTTTATGGGGTGTGACTGTGATTAGATGACTATAAGAAATGACTAAACTTCTTTTTATTCACCGTAATAACACTTGTTTCAAATGGTCATGTCACAATTGAAAACTTGGATGCGATTGGCATTAAATTTTAAGGATAGTTTTTAGAAGGATGAAAAGGACCAATTCTAACTTAAATCAACATTATTAGAAAACCAATAACAATATATAACTCGTAATGCAGTTTATCTGTTAAACCAGACATTTTAATATATGAAAAATAATTTCTAAGTTATAGATGCAAATGCAACGGCTAAGAGGATGTGGGCTAGTGGCTCTGCCTCTCTTACCTTTTTCACTAAATCTAAATTCGATCATCGGTTATTGTATCAAAATTAGCTGCCACATTAACAAATTAAACAAAAAAGTTCCGGGTATGTTAGTGATTACTATAGTAACTATTTCAAATAGAGCTTGGCAAAAAAAGAAAACTTTTTAAATAGACTTATTTAACGTAAAAATATGAACATCTCACCAGATTTAGTTTTTATCAGTTAAAAAAGTATATTTTTTATCCCGTTCGAGAAAATGAAAATGAACTTCGTTTTCCGGGTGTAAAAATATTAACTAGGCTGCATTTGATATTGTGGAGTGCTTAGGTGAGGTAGTTTAGCATTGTTTCCTCATATTTTACTTGCTTTGTTAGAAACTTGGTTTACTTCTTTTGGTAATTTCATGATCATTTCCTTCGCAAGAACTTCAATTTAGTTACAAGGAATGATATGTTTCCTTTAAATTTAAGTGAAGTTAAAATTGAGATTGTATTTCTCACTTTCTTTATTCAATAATTCGCTTACACTTCTTTTTCGTATTAATTACTTGAATTATCGCTAAATGAATGCGTTTCAAAAAAGGTAAATTATTCACTCATAACTCATTTCTATCAATGACTTTGTTGATTGAGTGTTATATCTTATCTCATTTCTATCAATGTATTTGTTGATTAAGAGTGTTCTATCATGTTATGAAAATTTTTAAAAGGTATAATATGAAATATTTTAAATGCATTTGAATGTTTTCGAATGAGTCTTAAAAACACATTATACGGTTTTATTAGAAAAAGAACAAATATTTGAGGAAGTGCAAATAAGAACCAACCTTTTTTGTTAAAGAAACTAGATAAGAACCAATAAGAAGCAACCTTATATTTGAGGAATGGAGAAACCAAAGGTTTTTTTAACAAACCGTAGAGAAAAATATAGACAATTCAGAGAAAATATAAGTCTTATAAGTCTTAAGAAAAACGAGGAAGGTGGTCGAAATCGTTTACTGATAAATACACATTGTTTACCAATAAAATCTAACATATAGATTTTCCTTATTACATGGGAAAAGCCAAAATGTAGACACGCACATCTCCACACATTTCCCCTAAAGATCCTCCCAAATTAGTTGGCTCCCATGATTTTGACATTTCTCTTCATCATTATGTATCCCATTCACATCCCAACATTGTTTGTTTCCTCGATATTATACTTTCTCAATTCTAAGAAACTATTGTTATATATACTCCCGAATGTGTAGGGCGGTAGTATGTGTAATAGAACATCGTACTTTCCGTTTAAAATAATTTATAAAATAAAATAATTAACCTTTTTCAACAGTCCTTAATTTTTATGCTATTTAATTTCAAAAACTATTGAACATTTTTTTTTTTTTTTTTGGTAAAACATTAAGATTTTATACCAATGGAACGATTAAACTATTGAACATGTCTTTATATTTTCACCATCACTAAATATATATTCAAATCATTATAGAGATTTGGCTTGTGATCGGTAAAGAGTTTCGGGATGTGGCAGCATAGCTTTTGAAGCAGCGTATCACATTCAGCGTGGATTTCAATCGGTAATAGCCGTGAAACTCTCTTAACTGGTTTTCGAAATCACTAAAAAGTGAATAGCAAATGACGTGATTTTTCAGCTTATACGAAATCAGACAAAGCGGTAATTCAAATCATTTTTTCATAACCATTGTCTATGAACCGACCTTGATTTTTATCCATATTTACTAATTTCTCTAATTTTATTTGTTAACCACGTTTTACCTCTGGAATAGGTCAAATCATTAATATAATATTTTAATTTGAAAATAAAAAATAAATAAATATTTTTACCATCTCAGCCATAATGAACATTGGTCGACATGAAAAAAGAGAGAAGTTAATCATCGGCTGTGTTTGAATAAAGAAGCAAAAACTGAAAATGATTAGAAAAGAAGAAAAATAAATGCTTCTGTTGGTATTTTAATCACACAACAAAATACTTTTGTGCCCTTTCCCATCATGGTAAGTGGTAACCAAGTCTTCAACCTTAAAAGATACATAAATATATAAACAAACTATAAATCTGGAAAACGTAAATTATTCCAATTTTGGTTACTCCCAATAATGGATCTCTTCGCTACCTGCTAGGGCCGGTAGGTAAACCAAGTGCCAAATTAAAAATAGTTTTCAATATATTGCTGATAATGTAAAAAATCCTCTCTACCCAATTATGTTGTGCCACGTAGTGGATATGCCACATAAATGATCCAACGAACTATATTCCGCCCTGGCTTTCCAAGTGAAGAAAATTGTAGCACATTTCTGGGGGTTAAATGTTAAATTTTATATCAATTGTAGTACATTTGAAGCGTAGGATCTTGAATTGCTTCATCCATTGCCAATAAGACATGGATGTATCAAACCGTTAAGAATAGCGATTCAAATTAGTTGTCCAAACATTTAATTAAAAATTCAAATAAATTAATTATAAATAGATCGAAAAATAAAAATTGGCTATGAATAGATCGAAAAATACATATAAAGTAATATAAAGTAAAATACATATACTAAAATATAAAATAATACATTGTAAATACTTTTAGAATTAGTTTTATCCAAGTATGAGTTTACAAACTAAACCACGTTGGTCTTATTGGTAAAAAATGTTTATGTGGGCTTCTACCACCTGAGTCGGATTGGCTACAAGAATTTTCACATGATTTTTCTGACCTCAAAATTAGTCGGTAAAAGTAAGATGATGCGTTGATCCTTGGTGTTAGAAATCCTTTACACATGATGCGGAGATCTCATTGGCGAAATTGGCAGTCTCCGGGATCCGGATCACCTGAGTTAAAAAGATTAAGTATGAGTTTACTTCCATTGTTCTCTGCATTGTTTCTAATTTTTTTTTTTTTTTTTTAAAAAATCCGTATATCCAACATAGTACATAATCATCTTAAATAATAGAGAAACAAAGGACTATTATGCAATTCATGAGAAAAGCATACTAATATCTTTTGGAAAAATAATATAATAAAAATCATGTGGATGGCTTGTAGTGCACTGCATCCAACAGGAGTACTAAACAATTGGACAAAATAAGTAATTTCTTTTATAGTAATTTAGCGAAGTACAAAAGCAGTGTTTCCATTAATGGTTAGAATCTGTTGTCGGCAAGAATAGTGTACGAGGTTTGAAATTTCTATTGGTAAACGTGGACGTCTCCTGTCCGCTTATTTATTTGTTTATTTATATTTTAACTTAGTAACCTATGCAGCAAAAAGAAAAGAAAAAAACCACCTTTTTATTTCAAATAGAGACACACACTTCAGTCTTAACCAAAGATTAATGATATCTAAAAATTTAAACTCGAGATTTAAAAAGTATAATTAGGTATTTTTTTATCCACATATGGTGTATGGATTACTTATTTTGTCTTCCAATAACCTATATTAATATATAGATTTGAAATAAATGATGATGCAATTACAATTCTACCACAATTACAATTCAATTACCAAAAGTTTTTTTTTTTGTGTGTAAAAACCGTAAAGGTAATTAGATAAATCTCCAGCTTATTTATGAGAAAAGACAATATAAACGGAGATGAACACTGCTACAAAAAATTCACTTTTTTATAAGTAGGATACTTAGTTATCGATCGATATCAAAAATTTATTTATTTAAAAAAATATTTAAAATTTCTTACCCTTGTTTAATATTCTCATCCTTGTTAAGCATGGATATGGTTCATATCTAACTATCTAAGATGCAATTTTATTACATTATAATTACCAGTAGAAAGTCATCGAATTCTAATTTAAATCGAAACAAAAATTTAACAAACAATGTCGCTAAATAAGACTCAGTCTTTTAGCCTTCAAACAAATATGTAGAACAATCTGTCCATTGGCTTTAATTGTAATAAGAATGAGATTATTAGAAACATGAATATAGTCCACAACTAAACTACAAAATTGGATTGAATACTATCTACCGACAAGAAATTAATTATTCGTTTCTACATTTCCTCTTGAATACTCTTAGAAGGCATGATCAATTCATTATCTTTTTTTTTACGTCAATTCATTCTCTTATTACATAAAGTTTAAATAACATGCCAAACGACAACAATCATGACTTAATTATAATCATAAAGAACATCACTACATCTAAACATAATTCGTTTGAATCATTTCTTTAACCTGGAATCACTCAAGTAATTACATTATAAGTTTGCTTTTAAAAAAACAATTCCCAAAGTGTGTCTGAATGCATATTTCCATTTATGAACACCAAAGCAAAATGAAATAAATTGTTTTTCGTTTGCATATTGCATACTGCATTTACATTTACAATTTTAAAATTTGCTTTTAAAAAAAAAAAAAGAAACATAAGATTGTGTCTTTGAAATGCAAGTATTACATTTTAAAATAAAATGATTATAAAACAAATTAGATATAAGTATTTGTATCATGCTATACGCGAGCATAAGAATCAATTAATATATATAGTAAAATGTAAAAAATTCAATTAATCCAAATATATTTGATTGATTTTATTTCTAGATGGTTATGTTGTTAATAAAAGATTTCTGATTGTTTCAGGATGATTTATCAATGATTTAATTTTTTATTCAAAAGAATAGTTGGAATTATATGCATTATGTGTTTAAATGTAAATTAATTCATATTGCAACTTACAATTTTTAAGGTTACGTTTAAATGTACTACTTTAATAAAAAAATCACTTATGAGGCAACATTTCATCAAATATCTTTTGTTTGTTCATGAATTCATTTGATATATTTTTTTCTTCTGATAACTTAACGTTTAGTGAATAGGAAAACGATGGACGATGGCTAACACTGTAACACAAACAAACAATGAATTTTTGTTTCCGCTAATAATCAATCAAGCTTTTCGGCAAAACATGCGGAATGGTATTATCATATACTAGGTGAGTACCCGCGCGTCGCGCGGCTCTTTTTCTAAAAATAATTGTTATTCTATAGTTTTCATATTTATTTTTAATTTTTAATATTTTTATATTTGTATTTCCTTGTTAATGTAAGCGATACTATATTTAAACTGAGAGTGTACCCGTGATTATTATTGTGTTTTTAATTATCCTTAATTAGTTTTTGATGTATGTCTTCAAATTAGAATTAGTATGATAAAATTGTTATGTTATTGAAATGTGTGAATTTACTTTTGAACTTCATCAGGAATTGAAATGTATTAATTTTTAAAATATATTTTAAGAAATTATCCATATAACTGTACACAATTATAGGTAAACTAAACACTGAAATAATAATTTTATTAACTATTATTCATATTTTAAACTGCATTGTTTGGGTAGGATTGCTTGTCCCCTCAGCCCTGCGCATAAGTCATTATAAATAAATCGTGTTATTAAGTAATTTGGGTATATTTTTTTCATATTTATTAGTTACCTGGTGTCCCATATGTTTCTTGTTGCATCTTTTGGGGTGCTGTCTCTACATATAATTATGTGTTAGAAAATATCATGTATTTGTTATTTTATATTTATTAAATGTAATTATGAACCCAATATATACCTTTTGCTTATGCATGAATATTATTGAATATCTCCTTGTAAACAATGTTTGTGATTCCTTTGCTTCCTGGTTGTTCTTTTTTTGCATTGTAGATTTTGAGTCCTTCCATGGATGTAACTCTTGAGAGAGCGACATATAATTGTCCGTGACTAAAAACTGGTTTAGGTAGATACAGACCAACTTTGTCCAGGCTTTGTCCCTGACTCTTGTTAATTGTCATACAATAACAAACTCGGACTGGGAATTGTCGTCTTCTCATTTTGTAAGGACATTTGGTGTCGGCTGTAGTCATGACAATCCTTGGTATAAGGATTCTTTTCCCAATATTTGTCCCTGTGAGTATCTCTGCTTCTATCACTCTCTCCCCTAACCGTGTTATCAACAACCTTGTTCCATTGCATAAGCCTTCTTTTTGGTTAATATTCCGCATCAGAATAATTGGTGCATTGAGCTTCAGTTGCAGCCAATGATTAGGTAATCCTGAGCATTTAAGACTATTTAGATACTCTGGTGTGTAGAATGTGTTCTTATCTTCTACATTTGTATCCTCACTTGCTATGCTGTCGGAGCTCAGATATTTTTTCATGTTGCCTTCTAGCTTTGACAGAATAAATTCGTTGATCTCATCAACGGTTTCATTTCTTGGGGTTAGAATTGCTCTGCCTCTTAGATATTCGTGATTGTTGAAAAAAGCATTGAAATTTGTGTATGTGGTTTTGAAAATCTCTTCTTCTGGATTTTGGGTTGAAGGTAATAGTAGATCTTTTGCCACTTCTATGTCATTTGTATCTGAATTTTTGGAATCAGATGTTGTTATTTTTTTGGCTGCTCCATCTCCCACTTCCAAAATCCACTTTGAAAACAATTTCTCCTCAGCGTTTAGACGCATGTTCTTGCTAAGGACATACACATTACGTTTTTCCCATAGATATGACCGATTAATAGATGCTGATACAGTATCCTGTCTATTGCCTTGAGGGATTACTGGTAAAATTTGTCTGAAATCACCACCTAACAATACTGTGATTCCCCCAAACTCTTTATCAGCAGCTTCTGGGTTTTTCATGCCCATGATGTCTCTTAGTGTTCAATCTACTGCCTCAAATGTGTGTCGGTGTGCCATAGGAGCTTCATCCCAAATGATAAGCTTTGTACGCTCAATAAGCTCTGCCAGCATTGTTCTTGGTTTTATGTCACACATTGACTCCTCGTGTAAATCTATTGGGATCTTAAACCGAGAGTGCGCTGTTCTACCACCTGGTAATAGTGTCGCAGCAATTCCTGAAGATACTACGGGGAGGACAATTTGTTCTGTTGATCGTAGCTTGGCGATTATAGTTCTGTAAACATGTGTCTTCCCTGTTCCTCCTGGCCCATATAGAAAGAATAGTTTCCCTCTAGAGTTATCGATGGAATCCATAACTGCGGTGTAAATTGCTTGTTGGTCTGAGTTTAGTGAATCTAAGAGGGTGCTGTGCGTAACAAGTTCTTCTTTGATGTTGTACTTCCTCTCTTCGTCAAGCAAGGAGTTTGATAACTCGCTCATTATGTTTTTCTCGGGTTTTGGCATATCCGGAAAATCATCAAGTGATTTGTTACTTTGAATTAAGAGTCTCTGAAGCTCCACCAGTGTGTATTGCTGAATCTCCTTTTCTGTTAAGTTCCATTGGTAGAAATTCATTTTTTTTGCGCTGTTTATATGTAATATCCTCGGATAAAACCTGTCAGAAATTTTGCCACAACTTTCCTGGCGAACTCACTTGACAGTAGACCAGTATTGTTACAAACAATTCTCTCAATTGCCACGCACTTGCCCAACCCGATGCCTCATCTATAGCTTCGTGGCATTCTTTATCTCCATCTAACAGACCCATCGCATTACATGCTTCCATAAATGTTGAGTATGTTTTGTCGCCAACTGTACAAATGTCCGCGAAGCTTGTTTTCCCTTTGACATGGTTTAGAATCAGCCTTAAATAGTACAGATCTCCTGCTGATGGGTGGATGTTCACAATTTTCCCTATTGTTGTTCCTCTTTCCCTTAGTGTCCATATCTTGTTTGATGTGTTCCAGACAAACATGATCGGAAACTGGACGTATGTAATATCTTGTGCTTCCTTATAGTGTTTATTGGCTTCCATCCATTCTGTGAACATTGTGCCTCTTCCTGCCATCCTTGCTTCAATATTTTCTGGAGAATCACTTTCATCAAAGACTACATTCTGTTGCCCTTCTAAATGTATTATTAGCTTTTGAACAGCTGGTCTTTGTTCGTGGATTTCAAAACCAAAGATCCGCCATGAAGCCTCATGTGCTGATAGATATCGGCATTCCTGGTAGTTCTTTATCTCATCTACCTCGACTTCTTTTTCAGTTGTGTTTCCTTCTTGCTGAGGTGCTCCTTTTTTCTCGATAATAATTGTTGCCTTGTCAACGCCTTTCGTTATGTACTTAAAAAGGTATTTAATAGCTTTAGAAGTACAACACCATTCCACATTTATGTGTGCTCTGTATTTTTTCATCAAATCCAAGTTATGCGGAATGACATACCTATTGTCAAGAGTGGTATCACTTTTTTGAACGGTGTTCAGTGGGTCTTCTTGGCGTCTGTAAACTATGTACCCATTTTTGTCGCAGGATGTGTTTTGGGCATAAGGTCGTGGATATTTTTTGCTGCAAATCCCATTTTCCATGCATGGAGACTGTGGTCTATCTAGTCCACATGGACCATGCATCATGTGTTTTTTTACTAACTCATATCCTTCTGCATCTCTTTCTTTATCTGGTAGTTCTGCTGATATTATCTTGTCAATAACATCAGGTGAGGGATTTTGGATTGAGTTTTGCAACCACAAGAGGATGTGGGCATGTGGAAGGCCTCTTTTCTGAAACTCGATTGTGTATACACCTGTTTATTTATTTTTTTGTTATTTAATTTAGTTGGCAATAATTAATTATAATTTAAATTGAAGATTTTTTAATATAATTTATTGTATTTTAGTACATAATACCTGCACGGAAGTCTCCAAAGAAAAGCCCTTTCTTGAAATCGCTCATCATTTCATTAAGTTTCATTTTGAACACACGTGAAGCAACGTCTGGTCTATCATTACATGATCCATTTCCACACTGTTGGAGATGCTCTTCTATTTCTGGCCATGCCGGATTTGCTGTTATGGTAATGAATAGGTGTGGATTACCATAAGTTCGGAAAATTGCCATTGCGTCGTGGTAATTCTCGAGCATGTACCGTGGTCCTCCTGTAAATGATGCAGGTAGTATGATTCGTTTTCCCAATGTTTTAGAATCTGTATCTCCTCTTCCTACTGCATCGCGGACGTTGTTGTAGAGATCGGCTCTTAATTTTTTTTGGTTGTTTCTATTGAACCTCAGTTGCTCTTCTTCAACAGCGGTGTATGCGTCTACGATAAATTGGTGCAGTAGCCTCCCGCCTAGGATAAGGGTTTTCCCTTCAGACAACCTACTCTGGATTTGGTATGAATAGTACTCTCGAATAGTAACATTTTCTCTCTTAATTTTAGGCCCATTTGTTGGTTTGTATGGAATATTCAAGTGGAAGCCACTTTCTCCATATGGGAAAAGCAATGGGTACTGGAGGGCCATATAATGTTGGTGGAGAGTGTTTATCCTCTGTAAACCATCCGTTTTTGATTGTACTAAGACATCTCTGTGACCTGTGGAAGATTCAAAATTGCCTACAATGAGCCCTGCAATTTCATCGCCTGTGGGAAGATCATATTGTCTACCCTTCTCTTTTTGCCCAATAAGCCGTATTGACAGCTCTTCTATTTCGCCAGCTTCATATTTATCCCTAGCTTTTCTAAACTCCTTTGTTAGTTGATTATTTGCATCCAGCATTGAAATAAGGTCACCAACTATCTTTGCATCCAGTTTTTCAGACTCCTTTTTTCTTGACATAGTGCTTATCCGGTTCTGAATTTCGTTGGCTGTATCATAGATGTAGAGTTGGTTGAATTTTGGGGCTTGTCCCTCTTTTGGGAGGAGTGGGCCTATGCGATGGTGATTTTGGCCGTGAATCCGGAAGGTAAATGGCCCGTAACCATTCATAACCGACTGATCAATCTTCGCCCCAATTGATGTAAACGCCAAGATGGAATTGTAAACCCTGATATTTTCTTTGAAGTGAGGGGTTGGCAGCAGATCTTGTAACTCCATTGGTGTTGGTCTTATTCTTGGCAGAAGAACTCTTCCCTTTTGACAGCATATTGTAAATAGTGGTTGTCCCGAAGTTGATCTCTCGTTGCTTTCTGCTTCCCATACCAAAGCTCCACAATTGAAGCATTCTTGTAGTTTATTAGGTTTATTCCTATTTTGCCTTTGTATGGCTATTTTTATACATAGTTGTGAGTTAATTTCTACGAGATTTTATATATATAGATATATATATGTATATCGGAGGGGGGAAGTGTTGACTTACGGCGGCCTTTGTTTGTCATTGGTTTCTTTTTTGATGGACCAGCAATATGTTTTGATTTTGGTGTCGGGGCTATTAGCATTTATTGGAGGTGGAGAATATAAGTACGAAGAGGATGTTATGATTAAAATGATCATGTTATGGTCTTCCAGTAATTTATTATTTGTAGTTTTTTTAAATTTAGTAATTTGTTACCTTTTTCCTGACACCTGTTTTTTTTCTCCTTAAGAATAACGCTTCTCCTTCTCCTTGCTTCTGCGCAAACATCTGCAAAATAAGTTAGGCCTGTTTTTAAAAGTTTCTTTATTAATAATATCTGCATATTTCTGAAGTTGTAATTCAAACCTTTGTGTCCTGGGCCTTCTGGCTTAGTTGAGGGACATCCAGATTTCGATGACGTCCCAATTATGATGGAGTTTCCTATATGATTGTGTTTGATATTGTTAGCATTTTTTGCGGTATTTGTTTTGGGTAGCAATGTTTGTTAAATATTGTATTATTTATGAGGACAATTATGCATATGAAAGCTACAGGTGTTAAACGTTTTCGTTTTGGGATATAGTAATTGTGTCATGTAGACGTTACGTCTCTTGTATTACACCTTTGTTTGTATTATTTTTATTTTAATTTGTTAAATAAGTTCATGACTAAAATTTTGCCTTCTCTCCAGCTATATATCTTTATATTTTAATTACATTTTTATGGCCTCTTTGTATTAAGATATGTAATGTGATGTAGGTATATGTTTTGAGTAGATAAATGTAGTTGTATATAGTTCTATGATGTTATATTGGTTACTATTATGTACTTTTTCCCTTTCATAAATCAATGAAGACAGTTTTTGCGCAGCATTTAATTTACGAAGCAGTCCCTGGTAAGCAGACTTACTTTTACGTTCGCGGTTAGCGTTTATTATCTGCCGTCTTTTTGCTCTGTTGTCTCTTGTATCCTGTTTGGAAGATTCGTCCAACTCTCGTTTGCGTGTATCCATCACCCTTCATGTATACAAATTTGTAGTGTTATTTTAAAACCCTTGTATAATATGTAACCGTCCTACAAATTTAAACATTCCCTAGTAATATTTCATTCATTAAGATTGAATTTTTTGTTCTTAGAAAGCTTTTTTTCCCTTCCTCATGGTCTACATTTCATTAGCCTAACATGATACATCAAAGATATCAATCGGGTACTTAACATGTTTTGGTTTGCCTTGTTTGAAGTATTACGCATACAGTCATACAGAAATATCAATTAAAATTTAATTAATGATAATATGATGTGGGCATAGTTACTTGATAAGGTATGATTGTCAGCTGGTGGTTTTCTCGCCAATGATACCTTATTTATTTGGTAAGACCCTTTGGAAGTGCATCTCGTTAATCCTGTTTGTTGTGTAGTACTCATGTTTATTTATTTTTAAATAAGTTTTCTTATTATATTATACACCATATGTAAGAATATAAGAGTTGTGATAAAATTACCCAATTTTCCGATGTATTGCCCCCTTCCTTATATCTCGCTTTCTGGAGTATGCTTGCAATTGTATGTCTGACCCAAATATTGTTCTCACTTATGCTCTTTTTTATTTCTTTACAAATCCTCTCCAAACGGAGGCTTTAAAATTCTGCTTGAGGTTTTCCAGTGGGTAGTTAGGATTGGGGGGTTTTAAAGTGAGGATTGTTTATACCATTTATTAACTATGACAGTTACTTTCTAACATACGTTTGTATCATTTAGAGCTGTCTTTATTTCTTCGCCGATAACATGGTTTCAGTTTAATTGCCTCTTAGGTGACCTTGTTTCTAAATCATTCAATTCTGACCTATTCAGCGGTAATAAACCGGGCACGGTATGATTCTGTTTGGGTCTTTTATTTTACCGCGTACAAGTACGTTTTATTTAATGTCATTGGCCGTTGTACAAGTATGCAACCGTCAGTGTGGTCGTTGACCGGCAAGGGTTTCGCTTAAAACGTCTTGGGCATACGACGTTTAGAAATCTCGTTTTTCTTTCATTTTTTACTCTTGCTTGTTTAGAAGAGGTCATATATGACTGTTAACGTATTTATTATATGTGTAATTAGTAGTTACTAACGTCAGTTTTGTATGGGAATAGTAGAGTAGATCAATTTGTAACGTTTTTGGTTTCATTGGTGGTTAAATAGGAGTTAATAAGAGTTAATAAGGTAATTATTGGTGGAGGAGATGTGATAATTTCGGTTTTGATGGGCAGAGGAAGATTAAAGTGCATTAGCAGTGTTCCCTCATCTCATCAGCCACTAATAATTGTACAAATACATATTCGAATATTTAAATTAGGGGAAGGTTTAATTGGAAAGACGAAAATTGAAAATGGCTTCAGTTTCCATTAAATGATCATTTGGTCATTGGTATGTTATTATAACCCATATAGTTTTTTTGAAATCAAACAATAAGTTGGCAACCAATATTTTTAAAATTTTTTTAAATCATTTAGAAAAATATCAGATCACGGTATTCTAATTTTAATGAGTATTCATCCTATGTCATATTATTAGTAACTGGGTAACATATCATTCTAATATAGCATGTGTTTGTTCGTCCCTCGCGAATATATATGCAGCACTTTGTGAGTCATTAATCATTACGAAAAACTTAAGAAGCTTCATGAATTTAACTTTGTTAGAGGTGAAGATGACGACTTGACGTTTGTAAATACATCGACTGATATAATATAAAGATTAGTATTGTAACATATGCATATATTCACTGATGGCTTATATTATTGTTAACTGTTTAAAATACTGAGCATTGAATTAATTTCATAGAACACCAATAAAATTAATTTTGTGTACAGATAAAACCCTATTTTTTAGAGATGGATCCAATTTTAAATTCTAAACTATCAATTAATTTAGGTATACTTATTTCCATAAAGAATAATCGTAGCATTATAATTAAATGTGGTCCAAAAAGGCTTCGTACATATACTAAAATGTTGTTTTCACATCATTGAATAAACATTGTATTTTTCAAATTTAGAAAACATAATAGTGTTCTCTGCTTGTTATGCGTTTTTTTTAAATGGCGTACTGACATTTATATAAAACCTTTCATAGTAGGTACATATTTGAGACAAGGCATAGCTTAGATAAGCAACTGTTGAAACTAATAGGTGCTGCAAATCTGATTCATGGTAACCAAATCGTCTGCCCTTGGGCTCTAAAATTTAAAATAAACTCTGTCGTCGTAACAATGTCTACATTTCTTTTGACTTAGTTGGATCGTCGTTTTTTGGTCTTTGGAGATGCCGCAATAGCTGGCTTAAGCTCTGTTTCCAAACTTTTTGATTCCTCGTTCTTAACCGTCATGCTTGTCCTTGCTATTCCTTGGGGTGCCTAATATATTTAAGTGTATTTAGTGTTGTGGGCACATATTTTGAATGATACATTGAAATAATAACGGTGAAAAATACCTCTTTCTTGCACTCAGGTAAACAGTTCAGGATCTGGCCACCACAAATTCCATCTGTCTTTGCTGTATCCATTGTCCCAGTAAATTGTATACCATGTTTTATCTTCAACGGACCTTGGTCCCCACTTTCTTCTAAGATCACATCTTCTGAATCCTGAAATCATTTCCGGTTTTTTAAATTTCATCTACCTGTTTATTTAGTTTCAAAAATAATTTTTTTTAACCTCATGAGCTATCTCTGCATCTTCACGTAGAACTCTAGTGACGGTAAATGTTTGATATGACGTAGTGAAGTTGTAATTCGTGATTTTGATCTGAAATTCCATCGCCTTTCCTACAATATCTGTAATACAGTGTGGTATTTCCGCATGGTTGTTGCCGTCTTCTTCATTTGTGCCCTGTTCAATAATTTTGAATTAATAATATATATTCTTAAATATTGTGTTGGCTGTGTTTGAGAGATTGTGTAACAATATTTGAAAACTTCACCATGAGTAAACTGACTTCTTCAGCATTTCTGTTTGTTAATTTCTTAGCGGCTCTATCAAAAATAACAAAGTTTGTACCTCCTGTGGAATCCTCAACCACTACCTCCACTCTGAATCTGGAAAATTCCATGATGAATTCAATTAATAGTAAACTGTACTTAAAAAATTTTGAATATCTAATTATGCTCAATATAAATGATTTCTTACTTCATCACTCCAACTGCATTTGTGGTGTGGCATGTGGAACATGAGAAAGATGTATCACCACGAACCAATTTTTTAGAGCATTTTGCACAAGATATGTAGAACCAACCATTGCGTGAACAAATGGAAATGACCTTAGCTTTACATAAAACCTCCTTTTCCTATAATTGTTAAGTCAAATTTGGTGCAATTCCTTTAGAACTTGATGCCTCAATTACACCTCTCAACTTTGTTCAACAGGGGAAAAAAGTGCTTACTTTTCTCACCGTAGACCTTGTGTACTCTAATAATGTTTTGATTGACAATCTTTCCATGTTTGCTTCCTGTTGCCGGTGGTCTTCTAGAGACGGTGGGATTGTGTGATCAGTAATGCCCATCCTTGCATGACAAGTTGTTTTGTTTACATATTTTAAAATAATTACATTAATAACCTACGTAATAGAGTAATATGTAGAATGAGATTGGATTTTCAATAAACTTACTTTTCCATAAATTGCCTCACCACTTTTAGATCTGTTTGAAAGTAGAATTTTGATGCTCCCGTGCTATTCAAGTACATTGTGCCTAGTTTTAAATTTAGTAAAGTTAGTTATGAAT